AGAACTCAATGATTATCCTAATTATATTTTAGATTTTTTATATTTAAAATAAGATGTTTATCTTGTATTTGATTATGTTTATCTGCAATTAGTTACATGAATTCAAATATGGAGCTTTAATAAGTTGTACTTACGTACAATCTACTTGTAATCTTAAGTTTTAAGTAATATGCATTAATAAACAGTACTTTACACATAAAAAGTAGTTTTTTAGAGTTTTTGTCAAATGCTTTATAATATAGTATAGATTGTTTTTTTTATAATTTAATTTAAGTTTAATAATGAAATAATTTATTTTTGGTTTAATAATATAACATTTTATAAAGAAAATAATTAAGTATTCTGTTAAAACTCAATGATTGTCCTAATTTTATTTTATATTTTTTATATTTAAAATGAGATGTATATCTTCTATTTGATTGTGTTTATCTGCAGTTAGTTACACGAATTCAGATATGGAGCAATAATAAGTTGTATCTACTTGTAATCTTGAGTTTTAAGTAATATGCATTAATAAACAGTATTTTGTGCATAAAAAATGGTTTTTAAGAGTTTTTGTCAAATAATTTATAATATAGAATATATTTTTTTTTTATATAACTTAATTTAAGTTTAATAATAAAACAATTTATTTTTGTTTTAATATTATAAATTTTATAAAGATAATAATTAAGTATTCTGTTATAATTTAATGATTAAACTAATTATATTTTAGATTTTTTATATCTAAAATGAGATGTTTATCATGTATTTGATTGTGTTTATCTGCAGTTATGAAATCGTGTTGGGTTCAAGATTAGTGCTTAAATGTTGTATTCAAGTTTCTCCATTTACTTAGCTTTATTGTAATTAGTTTAGCATTATTTTCTTTAGTATAAATAGTCTTTTCAGTGTAATTGTAATTACACAATTGATTACATCATTAATCAGAAAAGGTAATTTGACAGCAATTATTCTCTCTCTCCAATCTATATTGAATTCATATTCTGTTCTTGAGATTTTATGAAGATTGCTTCAAGATTCGTATGAAATCTGGACTTTTCAAATCGGATAGGGATGAAATCGTTTAGGGATAAACGGGTTTAAGAGTTTTAGCCAAATGTTTTATAAGATAGTATAGATACATATATATACTAGAAGCGTACTCGCGCAATGCAGCGAGATATATCGTGATTTTAATATTTCATTTTATTATTTATCTCAGTCGATTTTATAATATGGTTTTATGTGATTTTGAGAAAACGATGATGTTTTTATTTTTGAATAAAATAAATGTTTGAAGATATCATAAAAATTGACAAAAATATATCGATATTAGTATCAAAYTAACTATTTGAAATTCCTCATTTTTTCGTGTAATTTTTTAATTCAAATATTTTATAATTTAATTTCTGTACAATAACGAAGTAATTTATACTTGGTTTAATAATATAACTTTTTTATAAAGATAATAATTATTTATTTTGTTGGAACTTGATAATTATTCTAATTATATTTTAGATTTTTATATTTTAAAATGAGATGTTCATCCTTTATTTGATTATGTTTATCCGCAATTAGTTATACAAATTCAAAAATCGAGCTTTGATAAGTTGTACTTTTGCATAATTTACTTGTAATCTTGAATTATAAGTAAACATTGGTTTTATGTGGTTTTGAGAAAGTGGTAATATTTTTATTTTTGAATAAAATATAAATTTAAAAATATCATAAAAGTTTGAAAAAAAATATCGATATCAGTATTAAATTAATCTTTTTAAAATTTCTTGTGTTTTGGTGTAATTTCCTTAATTAAATTTTGTTAGTTATCAATGATTATCATAATTATATTTTAGATTTTTTTATATTTAAAATGAAATATTTATCCAATATTTGATTATGTTTATCTGCAGTTAGTTAGACGAATTCAAGTATGGAACTTTAATAAGTTGTACTTATGCATAATTTACTTATAATCTTAAATTTTAAGTAATATGCATCAATAAACAATATTTCGTGCATAAAAAATTATTTTTAAGAGTTTTTGTCAAATGTTTTATAATATAGTATAGATTATTGTTTAAAAAAAAGAATAATGATTTTATTTTTG